ATTGTAAGATACCAGTTGCTATGACTCTCATACTTGCTTAGAAATGATAATAATACCATGCATAACTTCAGATTTTATTTGAAGTATACGAGTGCAATAATCTGCCTCTAATCCATTGAATTTGTCTGTTCTATAGAGGAACGCTGATTTATCCAACCATTTCAGATTTTTTTTGAGCCATCGCTAGAGTATTTGAAGAGAATATGAATTGACAACTTTATGACACGTTTATTCCACATCAATCATGAAATATATCACAAAGTTCCAACCACATCTTTCCACGAGTCAAATTGCAGGGCTATAACCGACCGGCACTGTCATTTATTGCACACCACCATTTATAAACTAGGCACACTAAAGGTATTGTTCTAATCAGCTATCACAAGTCTGTTAAACAAATTTTTCAAAACGGTAAGCTTCATTTCCTCGAAACGAAAAGCTTTCTCTGTTAGGATTTGTAATAATCTCTTTGAGTAAATTAAAGCATCATACATCCAAAAATGATTTGTTTAAAAAATAAAACTCAAAATAGAAAAGGAAACCCTGAACATCTGCGGTTTAAAATATTGTATGAACTCGAAGTGAATAGAAAAATCTTAAACGATACCGTTTAACCGTTTCTATCTGATATCCTTGAGGATGATCGAGCTTGATTGCTTCATATGTAAAATTAATTTTTTTGAAGTAGTCAATAGTAGTCTGGTCAAATTCAGAATGTTCTGGATCTTTTCCTTCTTTCATTATCATTTCGATCAATCATTTTTTAAGTTCATTGTCACAACAGCTTTTAATTAGTCTTTTCCATACATCAAATGTTACTACTTGCATTTGAAGTCCAGAATTATATATTTCTCGCAATTGGAATTGTACAAGATTCGGCATATATTTTAGTAGTTGAGTGATCTGACGACTAATAATATCGTGTCAAACAAATATAAATATACGAAGTCGATGTAAATCAATATTTGGAAGTGTTGGATAATTGAAAGACTGAATGACAGCACTAGGATCGTCTTGAGTATAATCAACACGAAGAACAATCAATTGAAGAAGAGATAAAGCTAATTGAATCAATGCTAACCATGAACATCTCATATTGTAGAGGACAAACGTATGAATCTGTGTTGACAGATTGCTAAGGCTATGAAAGAATTTCAATAACTTGTTATCAGCTGAATTGAAACAACGCCCATCGACTGAACTCGGTAGTAATTCTTTGGAGAGAATATAATTGAGAGCAACACCACTAGGCATATTAGTACACATGTTCATGGATATACTTTTCAGACAGTGCAAGTGATTTATATTCGGAAGACAACCTTGGTTAGAGTCAAAATTGATAGGTGTAACTTTGCGAACGTATGGAAAACGATTGACTATGGTAGCCGTATTGCCGATCCTTGTAGTTAATGAAACAACATAACTACGACTAATAGATGAGAGGATAAAACTGAGCTAGTTTTCTGAATCATCAACGAGGCCCAGCATAGCCTTTCTGCTGCCATTGTATAGCGTGACGAGATCCTCGAAATTGGGCAGTATATCATGAAAAGCAGCATAAATTTCATGTAAAGTTAGATATTCAAATATTTCAAATAATATGTCGTCACATAGGAATCTCCTTGGTGCACGTGGTCGATGTGTATCAGTTGAGTAAGATGAATTGTTTTACTCTGATCGCAACTGCAATAATGTTCTTTTCTTTGATTCTTCTATACGACTCTAAACAATAATAAATATACAATATAACTTGTGCATGCTTGATCATAATTCTCTTCATTCTGGAGTGTGGGTGTTGATTCTTACTTCACACACATATTTATACATTCTGCATGCTGCTTCTATTAAGTTTAACGACAAACTATTATATGAAGCCCCATTCTGATCAGAAATGTTTGCTCTTTCAGCCTATAAGTTTCACAGTATGTCAGATTTGTTCATTACTAATTATTTTAATTAATATAGTAACCCAAACAAGATTAATTCAGCAAATGTATTTTCGTTCATTATATTTACTAAATTATCTCATAACGAAGACTTCTGTACAAAATGTGAGATGATGTAAAATTTTTCTATTATAGATAATAAAATTAAGTACAAACCTTTTATCGGAACTAGACACATTTTGTCTTATAGGTAATCATCAGTAACATGAACTATCATGATTTTACAGTAATGCTAGAATTAGTACCATGACTCATGTACAATCATTTCTCTTCTGAAGATAAATCAATTCGACACTGAGATTTCTTTCTTCATCAACTATGTTTAATTTTGAAACATGATACTTATGTGCTGCGCATTTCAAATATAATTTAGTACAATACAAGTGTATAATATGAGAGAATATATATAAGTCATATTCATCTTAATACTGAGGAAAAAAATTCGATCTATTTTTCTCAACATAATACATACTCAATGAAGACAAAGCTTTACTATCAAGAGTTTTGTTTTTCAAAAGATTTGTTCCAGAAAAGTGTTCTCTAACAGACAAGAAATAACGTAAGATGTAAAATCATTGACTCACTGAGAGATAATTAATTCGATGAATTCTATTGACTCTCAAAAGATTAGAAAATATTTTCGTTTTCAAAATATTCTTCATTGTGAGATACAAAGATTTTTCTAAATTCTAAAAGGATAAACAGATCAATTTAGAATAGTATATTCATCTTGCAAAATATTTTCAAACATTTGAATGACGATACTTACATCGATGAAGATTTGAAAAAAATTAGCTTATTATATCCATTTAAGATAGGCTTGTCCTTGCATCATATCTCATCATCATCAAGAATATGAGGCTTCATCATTGGCATATGCTTTAAGAATTCTTTAGTTTTATTGATACTTTGGAAAGTTCTGGGTTATAAAACTTCAAATATCAATCCCAAAAACAACTTGAGATGAAACAGTCGACTTTGTTGGAAATAAAGTAAACCCTTCTTATCAACATCATAAAGATATTGGAAAAAAAAACTTCATTTCATAGT